TCTCCCTCCCTCTCCCCTTCCTCCTCCTCCTCCTCCTCCTCCTCCTCCTCCTCCTCCTCCTCCTCTTCCTCCCTCTTCTCCTTCTCCTTCTCCTCAGGGACTCAAGTTCTAGGGCCCACCTGCTGGCCCCATCCACCACAGCACAGATGCTGGTGTTTGCCCTTATGCCAAACTCACATTTTTATTGTTGTTCTTATTTACCACTCACTTTCTCCTGCTCAAGTCTCACCTTCCTTTTTGTGATATACTTAAATTCCAAAAGCAAAGTGCGGGTTGAGAAAAGCCCTAACCTTCGTTGATGAGTGAGGCTGTGTGTGGCTGGCCCAAGCCCCACATGCCACAATGAACACCCAGGACTGTCTACACTCTCCAGTGCCCCCATCACTGGTCAGAGGGCAGCAGGCTGTTTGGCATGTGTGGTTCCGTGGGTCTAGGTCAGCGTCAAGACAATGCCTGTCTGCAGTAAAAGTTCAGGGGGGTTGTGCATTGACGGCAGTAGCAGCTCGTTGATCTGACCGAGGTCCCCGTGTAGCTGAACGAGAGGAGTGTGACCTAGTTGTGCCTCATGAACTAGAGTAGAAGGAGAGACAAGGGCCTCAGGTGGGGACCCATGTTCTGTGCCAATCCTGCTTTGCATGGAACATACATGCGCCTCCTCTTGCTATGGTGCAAGGCTGCAGTGCCCAGAAGGTGTGTATTCTTTGGTCTTTTGTGCATCAGTAGGGCTCCTGTGTTGGGCTCAGAAGGCCACTCATAGAACTCCCTCCCTGCTCTCCTGCTCTGCTCTCTAGAAGCCACTGTTCCCTGGATGGTTGGCTGAGAACTGGCCTGAGGCCCCACCCAGGACAGCGTCCACCCTGGACAGGAGCATAGGCCTTGTGGGAACCCTCCTGGTCTATCCATACAGCCCACCCCAGCCACAGTGGTTGTCATGAGTCATCCCAGCCCTCCTTCCCCTCCAGCCAGCTATGCTCTGTGCCACATGCTAACAACACACAGGAGATTGAGACTGATGGGTTGGCTGGACTGTGCCCTGCTGTTGGCTTCTCTCCGCAGCAGACACAGCACAGTGGCCCAGGACCTGGGGAGTGGGGGAGGGGCTTGAGAGTCCTCACCTCCCTGCCAGGGCCTGGGCATCACCAGTACACGTTCTCTGACCTAGGAGACCATAGGAGGGTGGACAAGGGGTTCTGCTCCTCCAGGCTGTGGATAGCACGACTAACGCTGCTCCCCACACTGCACCTGTGCTTTGCCATCTGTGAGGTGCAAGGTGGTTCATCACAGAGCCTAAGACATCCACCCTAGGAAGCAGGGTGTCCGCCCCACCTGATTGAGGACAGTCACCAAGCCATGCAACATCGAGACAGCCTTAAGACCAGTTAGGACAACTTCGAAGCATAGCTATGGTTCAAAGCACTGAAACCCCACATTCTGTGATAGCAAAACATAAATGCATTGTGAGCTTGCTTCTCCCAAGAGACTCCCTGGGAGGAAACACACTAGGGCCTCCGTGAACCTTCCTGAAGTTAGCTGACCCCAAGGGCAGGAGGAAGAAGAGAGGAGCTGGAAAATTATTAGCCTTTGCCCTTCCCTCTGTGGGGGTCTGTGTGACAAACCTGGTGGGCATGCTGGGGCAGAGGGAGCTTTCCAAGGAGCAGGAGGGGGCCAGCAGGAGGGGCCACTTCAGCTTCCAAAGCAGAGTATTCCAAGTGTGTTAGATTAAAATAGCCCAGCCCAGGAGCTGCCCGAAGCCAGCAGCCTCTTTACAGTTCCTGGCGGTTACTGTCACCAGGACCCTGGTCCTTGCCGCCTACAGAGGTAGGGCCTATGGGTTTCCCTTCTCTGCGACTGTTTCCTGTCAGCTGCCTCGGGGCTGCCAGGCAGCAGGTCTGCTGTCCCTGGAGTGTGCTCACCGGGTAGCTGTCGCTGCTGGCAACCCGGGAGCTGACACGGCTGCCTGGCTGGAGCTCCCAGAGAGAGGGACTCCCCTCCAGGACCTCTGCCCTGGGGGGCCGTGAAAGAGGCCTTTGCCGACACCACTTGTCCAGAAGCAGGACACGCTGTCTTTCTGCCTTGCTGCAGATCTGTTTTTATACCGTTTTTATCGTGAAATCTAAAACACACGAAGGGAGCACTTGGGAAGCTCCATTGGTTGGGAGTCTGCTTTCGGCTCAGGTCCCTGATCCCAGGGTCCTGGGATTGAGTCCCGCATTGGCTCTCTGCTCAGTGGGGAGCCTGCTTCTCCCTCTCCCTCTGCCGCTCCCTCTGCTTGTTCTATTTCTCTCCCAAATAAATAAAATCTTCTAAAAAATAAATTAAAAAAAAAAACGCACGAAGGAGTGCATCAGTCCTTGGTGCAGGCTCATGAATACTTACAAAGCAAATACCCGCAGAGAAGAGATATAAAGCACCAAATATCACAGGACACCCTCCCCACTCACACCTCCAGGGCACCACCACTTCCTGGATTCTCGTGTCCGGCGTACCCTTCCTTCTTCAATGCTTCTTTTTTGGTTTTATCACCTAGGACTTAGGTGTACATCTCTAGACAGACCATTTGCTCTTGCCTGTTTGGGAACTTGTGCATATAGAATCGTGGCCTGTGTTTTGTGTGCATGGGAGTCACCTGGGTTTTGTGTCACAGCTATTTGTTCTTACTGTTCTGTGACATTCCATCACATGAACACCCCAGGATTGACACACTCATTCTGCAGTCGGTGGACATTTAGGATGTGTGCAGTTTTTTGTTTTGTTTTTGGCAATCACAGATAGAGCTGCTGGTAAACTCACCAGAGTACTTTCGGGGCATGGGGGGCATAAATTTTTATATATTTAACAGATATGGAAAAGGGTGTAGATATAGAGGGGATTTCTGCCTCACGAGGATCGATAGGCATGATGTTCATGGAGAATCCCAAACTGTCTCCTGAAAAGGTCAGATTCACACTCCCACAGCAGCACAGAGGGGGCACTCATTGCCCTGCTCTCCGGCAACACTCAGTATTAGCATCCTTTTTGAATGTCCTCAGCCTCTAGAAGTCCAATGCACTATCCATTGTGCCACGGAGCCACCTTATTAGCATCCTTTTTAATTTTTGCCAGGGTGAAGGGTGTGCCCAGGTATTTCCATTGTGGTCTTCCTTGGCCGTTTTTTTTGTTTGTTTGTTTTTGTTTTTGTTTTTTCAGATTTCTGATGAGGTCATTGCACTCTCACCTGACAACCTGCCATCCTCTGTCTCAGTTCTTGATTGAAAAGATCAATCAAGGCATAAGGCAAGGTGTAATGGTGGAAATCGGGCACGAATTCAGAAAACCAGAGTTTGGATTCCTTTCCTTTTCTTATTTCCAGGACCCTGAGGTCAAAGATGGGAAAGCCTGTAAATCAAGGAGAATGATATCTTCGTGAGCATCATCTTCCCGCCGTCACCTGACATACACGTTGGCGGAAATTCTTAATGCTCAGTGTTTGTTTTGTGTAGTTCCTCCAAACTGTCCTCTGCATTGGGCACTAATGCTTTTGAAATGCACAAACTATGAACCGTCATCCCCCATTCCCAGTATAAAATAGCTTCCTACAGAATAGCCTTAGCTCTCCTCCCATATGAAAACAGGTCTTACGTTTTCTGTGTGGTGGCTTTTTATTTTGACAGCAAGCAGCCTCCCCAGTTGTGGGACTCGTGAAGACAGGTTCACACCTGGGGTGCTGGTGGCCTGGTTGGGTTGGGAGGAAAGGAGCATTTCTCAAGGTGCAGAAGGTTTCAGAGGTGGCCCCACGGAGGACACGGAGGGTCTGGGCAGCATCCTTCCACCCGCTCCAGCTGCCCGAGCAGTGGGCTGGGGACGGAGCTGTCCCCTGGTGCACAGCCACGCATGGCTCTATGAGACCATTATTCTTAAAACAGCTCCAGCCCCGCAGTGCTGGCTCAGCCCTCTGGCTCAGGTGGCCTTTGGAGATGAATCCATGGGCAAGGACGGTGCAAACACGTCTGTTTCCAAAGCCCACCTCGGGGCTGTGACCTCTTGCAGCCCAGATGAGTTGAACCCTTCCTAAAAATGCAGTGCATTGGAGCATCTGCTACACATTTTGGGGTCTCCATGTTCTCAGGGCCAGAAAGGCTTTCTGGAAGCGTCCTGACTCACACTCTCTCAGAGCTGATGATTCCTGGGGGGCTCGAGATGCTGCAGGGAGTGGGGGGAGAGGAGACCAAGAAGCTGAACTGGGGGAGGGGCTGATGGCCAAGTCCTGCCTTTGTAGCCCCCACCTGGATCTGGCCCCCCAAAACTCTCAGGCCTCCTTCTGGGCCATCTCCTCCTTGTGGGCGTGGAGGTCCCCTCCATGCACCGCAGCGGGCGAGCATGGGCTCCTGGTCAGGCTGGTGGGTCTGTTCCCAGGGAAGGGGGTGGCACCCCAGAGAGCCTGTGGGGACCTGAGAGCAGAGCCTCGGGGTCACCAAAGCCCTGACTCGGCTCGCTCGTCCCCACCCACGGTGTATGGCACCTTCTCCCTGTGACATCATGTGGCAGCATCCTGTGGAACAATGTTCTAATTCCAACCCCACCCTACCCTTCGTGCAGTGGGACAATGGGAGGGAATGAAGGGCCTTGGGGTGGGGGGCCCGCACCCCCTCCATCCGTGGTCTGGAAGCTTCACGGTGCAGGGCTGACCAAGCACCCACATGCAACCCCTGGGCCAGCAATGGGGAGCTGCAGGTTCTGGGAACGTGGCCGTCAGGGAAGGGAGGTGAATGCACAGACAGTCGGTGTCCTGTGGGTCTCCTGTGCTGGTGGCTCCAGGGGAACTGAGATTCACCTGCCAAGCCCAGGCTCCCCTGCTGCCAACCCATGGGTGAAGGCCAGCCACCTCCACAGCACCTCCTGGTTGAGAGCCACCCAGACAAGCGATGACCCACCCGTCGGGAGAGCCCCTGAGCGCAGGTGGGAAGGGCGGCTGCGGCCGGCGGGGCAGGTCCAGCTCTGACGCGTGGTCTCCTGTCTTCCAGGATCCGGGACAGGAATGACAACGGGTCTTACGCCCTGTGCCTGCTGCACGAGGGAAAGGTGTTGCACTACCGCATCGATAAGGACAAAACGGGGAAGCTGTCCATCCCCGATGGGAAGAAGTTCGACACACTCTGGCAGGTAGGAGCCGCCCTCACAAAGTAGAAAGCCCACCGGGGAAGTGGGGGTCCCAAGCAGGGACCCAGCCAGGCTGAGCTCCTCTCAACCTGTAGGTGCCTAGAGGCCTCGGGCCGGGGGGGGCAGGGGTGTCAGGGGGATGAGGCTATGGGAGGTCCAGGGCCACTGAGCCCCGGAGAAGCCCATGGAGGGCCATGCTCCCAGGTGAGCCAGGGGCCCTGGCTCGGGGGCTGGGAGCATCTCTCTCTGTCCAGGAGCCTCACCCACCTGCAGAGGGAACCTCTGTGAAATTAACACAACTTAGAAAGTGGCTCAGCACTTTCTGCTTTTTTTTTTTTTAAGATTTTATTTATTCATGAGGGACACACAGAGAGAGAGGCAGAGACACCGGCAGAGGGAGAAGCAGGCTCCATGCAGGAAGCCTGATGTGGGACTCAATCCCGGGTCTTCAGGATCACCCCTGGGCTGAAGGCAGATGCTTAACTGTTAAGCCGCCCAGGCATCCCCACTTTCTGCTCTTGTTGAGAGATTTTTCAGCTCCGGTCTGAAAAGGGTTTGTTCTTGAACCAACTATTAACAAACTCCAAAACAGCTCCTAATAGGGGAGGCACATAGGGACAGAGGAGTGGAGGACTGACACTGTCGCGCTTTCCCGTGGGCCGAGGCGAACACATGCAGCTCATCTTCACTTACATCATAGCCATTATTGACGGTGGCCGTGGCCATGGCCGTAGTGGTGGCTGGCCGTGGCTGTGCTGTGTGCACCATCTCAGCCACACTCCCTATAAATAGCTGGCCTGAGCGACAGCTGCGCAGAGCTTCTGCAGGTGAGGAACGTGATCGGGCTTGTGTACATAGGTTCACACCCAGCACCTCACATGTGCTCATGGTAGAAAAGGGCCCCACTCAAAATCCATCTGTTTAAGCATTGAGAGCAGGGATTCTCATTCGCTTGAAACACAGTGACCACCACCTGCTGCGTTTTGGTTCTTGATGCTATAGTCAGAAAAAAAAATACCTCTTCTCTGCACACTGAGTATTATAACATTTGTTCACGTTAGTCATAACCCTGGCATTGACTTGTGCTGTGTGGCCCGTTAGCGTGTGGCTTATTACCGACCGCAGGCCGTGCTTTACCTTAGTGGCATCAATTTGAGCAAGTATGCGACCTGTCGGTACGAGTACCCCATGCAGGTCAGAGACGAGGAGGGGACGTTGCACGGTATGAATGTCCTCCCGAAGTCTCTCAGGTCCAAGAGTCATGGATGGTGTGCGCGCACGGGCCCTGGTCCACCTGCCACACGTGTGCTTACAAGCTCTGGCGCAGCAACAAGGACAGCCACCGGGCGTCTCCTGAATGACCCTGTCTTGGTGTGAATTCACACGCGGTGCCAACGCCTGCACGCTCCCTGCAGTGTTACCTGTCTCTCATCATTGGAAACTTCCTGCCCAAGCCTCTCCCAGACTTACTGATTCCTCTGGCCTATCGTGATTGTCCAGCCATAAAACTAAATCCTTCCTGTTGTACATTTTCCAGCCCTAGGGTTTAAGGAAGAGCTTCCAGATGCCAGCACTACCTTCTGTTTTTATAAGCGTGACTTCCTTGTTTTTTTTCTAGAGAGCACCATGAGGCAGCTTGTCCCCGGCCCTGCCCCAGGGGCCCGGGGCTATTCCCCTGCGAGTGGCTCCTGGCTGCCCTTGGTGGAATTCCTTACTTTGGAGAAGGAGTCAGCAAACCAGGAACTCAGTCTGGCTGCCTGGCCTGTTTTGGTGTAATTCCTGAAAAAGTGGTTTTTTTTTTTTGTTTTTTCATTTCAAACCATGGGTTTTTTAAAAATAAATAAGTAAAGGACTGTGCGACCAGTTATGGGGCCTGGAGAAGCCCGAAATAGCGGCATTTGGTCCCTTCCACTGATGTCTGCCCGAGCAGGGAATCCTCACATGTATGCCCACCTCCCAGGCACCCCCATTCAGCACATTGTCAGAAAACAGAAGATACCTTTTAAATATTTTATTTCTTTATTCCTGAGAGACACAGAGAGAGGCAGAGACACAGGCAGAGGGAGAAGCAGGCTCCCTGTGGGGAGTCCGATGTGGGACTTGATCTCAGGACCCCAGGATCATGACCTGAGCCACAGCAAACGCTCAACCATGGAGCCACCCAGGTGCCCCAAAACAGAAGATATTAGAATGACACTGGAGAGCCAGGTGGGGCACCTCACGGCTCTAGGGACCTTGATACCTCCAGCCTGAGAGCACGCGATTACACTCATCAGAGCAGGCAAGGCTTCCATGTCTACTTCAGAAGCGTGTTAGGGCCAGTCACACTGCAGTGGCTGTTTAGACAGTAGATCCTACCACATTAAAAGACAACTTTAAGGGATCCCTGGGTGGCGCAGCGGTTTGGCGCCTGCCTTTGGCCCAGGGCGCGATCCTGGGGACCCGGGATCGAATCCCACATCAGGCTTCCGGTGCATGGAGCCTGCTTCTCCCTCTGCCTGTGTCTCTGCCTCTCTCTCTCTCTCTGTATGACTATCATAAATAAATTTAAAAAAAAATTTAAAAAAAAAAACAATGCTTCCTGGAAGGATGAGATAGATTCACTCAGGGGAATCTGGCTGGCTCAGTCAACAGAGCATCTGACTCTTGGTCTTGGGGTCATGAGTTCAAGCCCACCTTGGGCATGGGACCTCCTTAAAAAAAAAGATACATAATTTTTTTTTTATTCAACAAAGATTCACCCAAGCACATAAATTTTAAGAGGAGAGAAGATTCAGGGGCAGGATCCTTAACTGAAAAAGGAATCAATAAGCAGATAAGGAAGAGATACCAGATACGAAGCTTCCAGGTTGTCTGAAGAGGAAATGTCTGTAAGAAAATGGGAAATACCCAGACTGTGTTTTTATTGTGTAAGTTTGAGGAGGTATAAATACCTACTTGCCAGTCATTAATTTTTTAATGAACCAGTTGGACATCATGTGTCAATTTTCTGGGAGCTTCAGGCAAGAACAGCCACGTTCTGCCCCTGGGTCCCAGCTCTGCTGTCTTCTCCCTCAGAGTGTCTCAGGAGTGGGCAATGTGTCTCATTCACCTTCCTTTGCCTTTGGTCCTGTCTGGAGGCTTGTTGAATGTCTATGTAAAGGAGTAAGTGCTAGCATGCAGAATTTGTTTTGATAACATTGCACAGATGTAAGAGAAATAAACAAATAAATGGAACTTGCTACCAAAAAAGAAAAGAGGGAGGGATGAAGACATGGATGGAGGGATGGAGAGATAGATGGAGAGATGGATGGAGGGATGTATGGAGAGACGGATGGAGACATGGGTGGAGGGATGGGTGGAGGGATGGATAGAGAGATGGATGGATGGATGAATGGAGGAATGAATGGAAGGATGGATGGAGACATGGATTGAGGGATGGATGGAGATGGATGGAGAGATGATGGATGGAGGGATGATGAGAGATGAGTGGATGAAAGAGGGATGTAGGGAGAGTGGGGCAAAGTCCAAAGGGGAGGTGGTATGTGGACTCCGGTCCAGGATGTGAGTCCAGGGAGGGAGAGGCATGAGGAGGGACCAGGACCACCTCCCAAGGAAGCATGTTGTATTGTTCAGGGTGTCCTTGAGTCACATTTAAGATCTTCAAGGAGAGTTGGCTACTCCAAGTAGGATTTCCCCACTTCTGCCTCTGCTGTTCATGGCTCTTCTCTCTTCTGTTTCAGCTAGTGGAGCATTACTCTTATAAACCAGATGGGCTTCTAAGAGTTCTCACAGTTCCATGCCAGAAAATTGGTGGGCAGCCAGGTGAGTCCCTGACCTTGGTGCCTCAGTCTCTGGGGTCTTGACAGTAACCAGCCTAGCTTTACATTCAGCCTGTCCCAGATCCAGGTGGGATGAGGCCTGGTTTTTATTGGTTGATAAAAGATGATGTTGGATCACTCCAGTTAATCAAGCTGGAGCCGATCGCTCTTAGTTCTCATGGTGCAGGTGAGGACGTGGAGTGAAGGAGGATGGATGAGGAGCAATGGCTTCTTGGGCGAGGCTAGCTGATGGTCAGGCTGGGTGATCTGCGGCCGGGAAGGGAGCTGCTGGGTTTTGGGGCTTCAGCCATAACTGTCCACGTTCTTTCCACCCAGGAAACATCAACTTCGGAGCCCGTGCGCCCCTCCCCGGTGCCCATCCTGCGGTGAGTGTCACTAGAGCTGGCCCCACAGTGCAGCTGTACGCTAACTCAAGGAAAAGCACGGTTTAGGGCACAGGGTAACCGTGACTGTTATTTCTGCCACACTTGATAAACTGGGACTGAGGAGCGTCAGCTAGAATCAACTTACTCTCAGTTCCAGTCTAGCCAAGTTCATTTCTTCGTAGGTTAGACCCAACTACCCAGTATTATGCCTCCTGGTGGGTCTGGGAAATGATGTGCACGATCCAGGAGACCGTGCGCCTGGTTGCTGGAGTGAGTCTGCCGTGCCAGATGTCCCACTGAGCTTGTCCGCCCGGCTCTCTTGGCTAAATCATTGTCAGCAGGAGACTTGACCTTTTGGGTGGCACGGGTTTGATGGTAGTTTAGGGTAAGAAGTGTGGGGTGGGGTTGGGATGCTGAGCAGCATCAGATGAGAGAAGCCTCTGGAGAAGGCTGAAACTCACCTCTCCCTCCGTGTCAGTAGGAGGCCAGAATGTGACCTATCCCAACACAGGCCCCCAAGGAGAGAATTCTGCTTCCACAAGCAGACACACAGATTTATACTCGGAGGAGGAATTGGGTCCTGCTCCTTCCTGGGGACCTCAGTGTAGACAGTTGGTGTCCCTGAATGCCATCTATAAAGCATGAAAATCCCCGTCGTGAGCTGTGTGCTCCACATCTCCCTAATTGCCAACTAACCCTTAAAAAACAAAATCTGCAGAAGCGGGATATATATTCTGCCCTCAGGAAGGACGATTGACAGCGCACAAGCTGCACCCACATGGAAGCAGGGAGGATCTCCAGGGGACAGCACCCATGCCCAGATGGGGGGAATTGGAATTTGCTAAAATACCAGTGAACTTTGGCACCAGCATCTAAACTATAGCACCTGTGTGGAGTCGTCATTTTATTTTAGCCTTTATGGGGCTTCTGGGCTGGGCAAGTCTACTGGCACATATACGCTCCATGAGACAGATTTATTTTCCTCCAAGGTGGTTGAAGGCCTAGGGCCAGGAACTTTTTTTTTTTAAAGATTTTATTTATTTATTCATGAGAGATACAGAGAAAGGCAGAGAGAGAGGCATAGGGAGGAGAAGCAGGCTCCATACAAGTAGCCCTATGTGAGACTCGATCCTGGAACACTAGGATCACACCTTAAGCCAAAGGCAGACGCTCAATCACTGAGCCACCCAGGCGTCCTAGGGTCAAGAACTCTTACCAGAGTATCAAGCCCAATATGCAGCCATGCATCACCCACTAGCTTCAAGAAGTTAGATGTTTTGGAAAATCTTGTTATTGACTGTATATCAATACATATGGAAAAAAAAACGCGCATGCGCTATGTGTCCAAATCAATGAATTTCCCCAGTTGCCATGGAACCAAGACCCAGAAGGAGTCACAACATCAGACACAGAATGATGTTTTGGCTTGAGTTTGTGATTTAGTAATCTATATGAAACAGGCTGTCCAATGTGACAGCCCTAGTTTTATAGCTTTCTATGGAAAACATAAACCAAAACATGTGTCCAGAACCTTCTGCTCAGGTGGTAGGCTTCTCCTGTCTGAAGCATCCCTAAGGATCAAGTGTGGCTGGTGGTGAATCTCCCCAACAGAGTGTAGAGGGGGGTTGGCCGTGTGATCATAAAGCGAGATGAAGTAGCGTATCACGTGTTTGCTTTTCTGAAACACTTACTCTTCCTCTTTGCCGTTATGGTTTCTAGACATGGTCGGCGGGTGGAATAATCTCAAGGATCAAATCCTACACCTTCCCAAAGCCTGGCCACAGAAAGGTGCTAAAGCATCCCCTGTTTGCTGTCCCTGATTGAGTGGTAGGACTGACCCATGCACGGCGCCTGCGCCCCGACCTGGCTGCCCTCCCGGCTGCCCTCCATGTGCGCTGCGCTGACCGTGTGTCCTGCTGCTACGCTCCCGCATCTGCCATGTGTGGCCCCTCCAGGCAGCCTGGCCCAGGCACTCGCTGTGCTTTCCATGTGGGTCCTTGTCCCTGCCGCCCAACCGCCGCCGCCGCCTGCGTGCTCTCTCTGCTAACTGTGCACATGCAAGTCACTTGGGGTCGCATGGGAGGTGTGAGCTTCATGTGGGAGATCCTCCCCAGAGCAGGCCAAGTGACTTCCGCTGCCAGCATCGCAAGTTGCGGTGCACGATATAGCCGGTTACATAAACTACATACAATGGGAGGGGTGCTGGGGTTTTGTGGATGCTGCACAGGGGGGCACTGCAGGCTGTTTATTTTATTTTGTGGGTACCAGGGGCCACGGCACCTGCATTGTGCCTATAGATTTAGAACACGGAGCTTTCTATAGAACATGTATAAAGACAAATGTGGAATTCGAGGATTAGAAGCACCTCGTTTCTTAACGAGGCAGTTGGGTTAATCTGTGATGCATTTTTGTGTTTGGCCAGGTGATTGAACAGTAAGGGGAAAAACGAAGGTGTTTTTTTTTTCAATGATTTTTATTTATAATGAATTATCTCCACATATATGTGTGTATATATAGATAATATGCATGGACTGCCTTTCTTTCCCATTGTGCTTTTATCATTGGTGGTAGAAAGTCGATTCTCTTACTAATAATTCTTTCCGTGTTCATACCAATTGGCATTTTTTCCAAACATATCCTTTGCACAATTGGCATCAACTCAGTTGCCTAAAGTACTTGCTGGGAATAACATCCCTGAGATTTTATTTAGGAAGAGTTTTTCACGTGGCCAGTCAAACTCAAGGTCCTCCCAGTTTGACCACAGAGCAGACAAGAGGGTTTACCCTGACAGTGGAGGGCAAGATCTCTGATAAGCCAGAGCGGAACAGTTGTCTAGTTGAACATCACGTGGCCAGGTGATGTGGACAGCTTTCAGGGAGCGTCAGCTAGGATGTGGCAGAGCTTTGGGGGAGCTCCAGCGGGACTGGTGTGTTAGGACCGGGCACCAGGTTGTCAAGGTGACACATTCCCTGTGTCTGGTGCCCCTTCAGCCCCACTGCTTGGTGTTTGTCTGAAGCCACCAGGACCAGTAGATGATTGAGGCTGTGGCTCTGAAGAGGTTGACACCTACCTTGCTCCGCAGCAGAACTCTTGGGCTGCCACCTTCCAGCCTGTGGGGCCCAGGAATCCTGTGGGCATTTGTCCCTTCCCTTGGGAGAGGGCTCCATGCGCTGCCAGGACAGCATCTCATAGGCCCATGGCCCAGCTGCAAAGAGCTCAGATGGGCGCCTGTCAGCCGAGGTGATTCAGAGCATCTTCTTTTCAAGGTGGTAATTACAAATTTCATTCTAATTAGTGGCTTTGCTCCCATGGTTTGGCAGTCAAACAGAAGATGCAGGAGTGTTTAACTGAATGTGGCATCGACAGTTTCAGAGAACAGCTCTGGAAAGCTTCAAGTCTCCCCAGAGGACTCTCAACTGATTAAGCCAGGCCCACCCAGGATTGTCTCCTTAACTTAAATCAACGAATTAGGGATTTTAGTTACATCTGTAGAATCCCTGCATAGCAGTAGCAGGATGACAGTTTTTTTTATATATAAATTTATTTCTTATTGGTGTTCAATTTGCCAACATATAGAATAACACCCAGTGCTCATTCCATCAAGTGCCCCCCTCAGTGCCAGTTTGATTCGATCTTGGAGGACCAGACCTCAGGCTAGCCACATGGACACATCAAAAAATCAGGAAACAGTAACCCAGCCTGGCAAGGAGACAAGACTCACTGCCACCCTGTCATGGTTCCGAGTAGGCTGAAGCAGCTTATATCACTCACAGCAACCGAGGAATATCCAGAAAAGATGTAGTAGATGTTTACACTAAAGTCAGTTACACTACCTAAAGTATCAGTAAGACCACCTAAAATTAAAGAAGTATCATCAAAGGAAATAATAAACTGGGAATAAGTATCGGCCATGGTGATACTCTGCAAAGTTAAGATCTTACATATATAAAGGAATTTTTACAAGTCAATAAAAGTCTTCACGGGGAAATGGCAGAGGATGTCAGTAGGTCATTTTTAGCAGAAGCAAATATAAATAGGAAAAATGTAGGAAAACATAAACATAGGAGAAGCTGCTCCCTTTCATAGTATAGAAATGCAAGCTAAAACTAGGTGCCCCATTACATCCACCTGTGAAGTGGACCCAACTAAAAGTGACAGGTCGTGCAGCAAGAGCGTGGTGAGCAAGCCCTCCCGCACTTTGCTGGAAAAGTGTGAAATGATGCAGCCTCCAAAGAAGGCAAGTTCGTGACATCCATCCCAAGGAAAATCACGTGTGGCTTTTTGACTACGATTTCATTTCTAAGTGTATTATTCTCGCACTTGTGTGGGATCGTGTGTCTAGGAAGGTGTTTATTCCAGCGTGGCGTCCCTGACAAAGTCTGGAAACCAAAGTCTGTCACTGGGAGACAAACCCACGGTAAAATTCACATCACGGGAGGCAGCTGAGGTCTAGAATTATTTCCAAAATCCAGTGCTAATTACAACAGATATGTGCTGATATAACGTAAAATATTCTGCAAGAAATACAGAAACACAGCGGTAACGGTAGTTGCTGTGAGAGCACAAAACGGGGGTGTCAGGGAGACTCACGTTCCTGTAAACCCCACTGTGCCTTTCTAAATTTGTACCTCTAGAATTTAATCAATTTTTTTAAAAAGAATGAAATATTAGAGAGTAATAATCTGGTTAATACCACAAAAATACTTTTCTGGCCAAAAAAAAAGGTAGTTGCCTATTTTTAAATTTATAACAACTTTGAAATATGCATTGAATTTTCATAGATGCTGAGAATATTGGTCAAAGAAGGATTGCATGATGGATTTAATGTATTTTAATTGTCAATCAGAAATATTTTAGGGGAGCTGCTGTTTATGTTTTCTCAAATTAATTAAGCAGTCGCTAGAAAGGACTTGCAGGAATTGTGTCCAAGAGCCCATCTGTTCAGATAAGGTGCAAATGACTCTCTTGAGTGTGTTAATTTGATCACTATACATAGTTGTTTTTAATAATTCAGGCCCAAAAAGGACGCACCAGGACTTGAATTAATTCTAGTGTGTGGGTAGCTACTGAAAAGTATGTTTTGACTTGAAGAGGATTGTTAATTAGATATTAGAGATTTCATGATAAAAACTTAAGGGCAGGTCTATTTTAAAGTTTTCCTTAGATATTAGGAACACTTTGGTCCTTAAAAAAAATATAAATGAAGTTAACTAAGGAATGTAAGTTGATTCACCCGCTCCCCTTCCCTGCAAACACTCACTAAAGACTGGACGTCCTTAGCTGCGTGAAGGCCCTCCCGATACTAGGATGGGAGCATCCTTTCTTGCTTCGTGAAGGAAATTGGCCGAGTGTGAACAACAGCATCTTTATGGACCACACATCAACCTCCTGTTTCGAAGGCGAGCTCCCTGGGATGCAACACAGCACTCACCTATAGCTCAGTGGTGGAAATGTGTTCCAGAATTTCAAATTAAAGCCCATTTTTCATGCTCTAGTCCAACACCTACATGGATGATTGGGTTGTTTTAAGGCTTGCATTTAAATGCACAGTTCACTGGGTTCGAGTTGGAAGAGCAAAAGGAGGAAAACCGAGTTGTGAAGTCAACACCCAAGCAGTAGGGCAGACCCTGGAGAAAATGTGTCACCAGGTCATTATCATTCGCTTAATTAATTTGTGAATATATAACCTGCTGCCCTCTGCTCCTCTGGTTAGGAGATTGATGGTGGAGGTCTGGTGGTGGTTTTTGTGGTCCTGAAGCAAACTCAGTATCATTCCGTGCCCTTGGCCGAGGAGGGTCTGCACTGGACTGTGGGGCCTCGTCCCCATCCCCCATCCCCTGCCTTGGGACCACGGCCGCTCCAGCAGAGACCAGAGTGGTGTACGGCACGACAACCCGTGTTCTGAGCCCACGGGCTCTCCGTCGCTACAGCTATGAGTCGGATGTGTCATCTTTGCTGCTACTCTGATTGCAAAAGGTCTGTCAAAAAGCCCAAGAGCGAAGGTCTAGAGATGGATAGTAGGACACACCAGATGCTCCAAGATCGGGAAGCTGAGTTACCTGTTGGCTCCAGGGGAACATCTGGTTCACTTCTGAAGCCCGACTTAAAACATAGGCACCTGGGAAGGGTGGAGAAAAAAAACAAAACATAGGCACCCAAAGGATATTTGTTGAACACATTTCCATTTGCAGTTAAGCCTGGCCAGGAAGAGGTCAGAGATCTTTAATTGTGGACCTAACTTCGTCCTTTTATTATTATTATTACTCTGTAAGAACTTATTTTACCCCAATTTATAAAACTTGAGAAAAATCACGAATTTTTCTTTGGGAGGGAGAACACGAAGGTAGCCAGTGCCATCTAGTGGTGGCCTGTGGGTTTGACCATCAGCGAACATGGGAAAATGCACCTGCTCCCATTACATTCACACCTGATTCTCTCCACGGAAAAGGTGATCGACCGGGGCATAATGAATCATCAACTATAAAGCAGAAAGAATAACGACAAAGGATATAATAGACCAGCAACGTGTTTTTCATTAAACGAGAATTTCATTAAATGTTAATGCTCATCAGTACGCTTATAATTCAGCATCATTCTTTGCAAGTCTTTGAATTCTTTTCAACGGGGCATTCGATCCCAGAGGCTGTTTGGTGTCGTCCGACCACGCAGCACATCCATCCAACACGTTATGGCAGATGGAACTTGTGTTTTGCACCTTTACCTTCGTCATAACACCACCGACATCCTGTAATTAGGCACAACAGAAAATCTTCCATGTCTTGCAAAGAACATTCTCCTGAGAGCACTGCCTAGGGAGGGGACCCAGGGGGCCTGAGGCAGGGAGCAGATGTGGTTAGTGAGGGACTCGTAGGGCTCGCAGGCTGCAGGGGCTCGTAATGGCACAGGGTCTGCGCGGGCACCTCGGCTGGCAACGGGCTTGCCTGACCTTCCAAGGGAGACCTCACCCAGTTTCCTGATCCAGAGCCAAGGGTGAAGAGGGGTGAGCGCCACGCTGCCCATTGGAGTGTGCTTGACCCTGTCTAGGGCTCGAGGTTCAGTGTGTCTACTGCTACCAGTTCTCACTCACTCTTAATGCCCTGGTATCCTTGTCACTCTTTTGCACACTCCCACCTCTGTGCTGAGGTCCTTCCCCACAGGTTTCCCATGTCAGGTCATTGCATTCTGGCTTGATCTGTGCAGTCCTGCTGCTCTGGAGAGCACTCACGCAGGGCAAGGCAGCAGCAGCCCCCAGATACCCTGTCCTAGGTGGGCAGGGGGTGGACCTCAAGGCCAGGAGGAGGGGTGCTGGTGGCCTCTCCTTGTCTATGACAGCCGGTCCTGGGGTCCTGAAGTCTCGTCTTTGGATCTCAGAGTTTCCTCCCTATGGAGATCAGAGACTTTGAAATGATTGTATATGTGAACCTAACAGAGGCTATTTTAAAAAAAAAATGAATACTGTTTCCACCTTCTTGGAGTTTGATTGCAGCTGAGCAGAGGGTTGATGGGAAGCCTTGGGATCCCCGGTCTCCCTGAGGACGGTCCTGTCGAGACGGGGTAATGATCTTATAAATGCAAAGTAGACTCACAGGACATCCAGTTGCCCTGTAATCACAGGCCAGTTTTTTAAAAGAGGTGGATCATCATTTGGGATCATCCACGCCTGTTTCCCTCCGGGAGGATGGAGACTGGAGGGATGACTCATTTTTTTTTAAATCATGCTGACGTATAATCCGCATCTCCCAGTTTTAAGACAGTATACCCATTCATTCATTCACATTCATTCATTCATTGAATGGAGGTGGGTGTTTGGCACATTTTTATGGAGCTCCAACGGTGGACAAGGCAAAGCTCAAGTGCAATGAGTGCGTGACCGTGCCCCTGGGATCTACACTGTTTTCGCTCCTACGGAGGGTGGAAGGAGTGGTGGGAACACCGAGAGAGGCAAAAAACAGGGAAGCGCCAACGTCCGTTAACTCAGGAGAGCAGATGCCTGTAGGCCGGGCCCCTGGACCTTAGTTCTGTACACAGCGGCTCTGCGGCGCTTGGCCGATGGCCTGAAGAAGGGGGACCAGGGTTTTGGAGACAGGTGGTGGCAGTGGTGCCCCATGACTCGGTCACTGTACTTTTGGTTTCTGGGCCTGTGATGTCAGGAAGGCAGATGAGGACTCCGTGTGTGCCTCGAGATGAGTGGAAGTGTGAGATCAAGCTTGATGTCTGTTTCTTTAAATTTCTCCAAAACCTGGTGGTATCTCATTTCTTCATGGCCAGTGTTTGGGCCCAGATAAGGTAATTGGGTTTGTGGAACTTCTACTCAATTATACCAAAAAAAAATTTTTTTTTGAGTTATGATTTCTTTTTCCACAAATCAAATTTAGCAGCAGTACCCTTGTTTTATGTTGAGGGGGTAAAAGGTCACCCAGGAAGACTCAAGATAGAGACTTTCAAAGGGCAACATTTATAGGGATGTAAGGAGTTGACTAACGGGGTAGGGGGAGCGTAACAGGAAGATACAGGCACAAGGAAGCAAAACAGACTTTCTCCCCCTTCACGGGGCCTGTGATTAGGATCATGAGCAGCAGCAGCAGGAGCAGCGCTGGGCTTGGGCTGGTGGCAGCCACTTCCGTGGGGGTCCCCTAGCTCACAGCAGGTGCCACCCTCCGGCATCCTCCCCACATAGCTAGGTCTCTGTGGAAGGTAAAGTTCAGGCTGAAACCAGGACTGTGTAGATGCTTTGGAGGCAGGGAGTGGGCGGGGGAAGCAGCCGGTAGATATTCAGTGTTTTCTCCTTACGTAACTTCATAGGACATAAAATTGAACACAAAGAGTTGATGGAAGAGAGCGAATCCCAGGGAATCATTCGTAGGTAGGGACCTGTGAGCACAGACACTCTGAGACCTTGTAGCCCCTCGAACAACAGGGGCTCGAATAACCCCCGTGGGGTCCAGGCAGTGGCCTGAAGAATGAGATAAGCCATGGTCGTTATTTTCTGTCTCTTCCTGATTCTTTCCTTTGTCTTCTGCACCTAAGTTGAAATGTGGTTATTTGAAAATGAGAGTAATCGTGCAGATGAATTACTGTGATGTGTCGTTGTGTGCTGCAGGCTGCCTCGTCCGCAGGGAGCCGGCCGGAGAGCTCCTTCAATCCTTACGAGCCGGACCGGGGGCCCTGGGCCACGGACAGAGGTGAGAAATGCACGGTCAGTGAGTCCCTGGCCACTAGCTCCCCAGCGGTCCCAGGAGCCACAACGTGGGTGGCCACCTCACCCTGGCCCCATGACTTATTGGTGCTGCACTGTGGTGACGCAGCCCCAAGGTGATGCTGCTGTGTGGCAGCAGGTAGTGGAGGCCCCCCGTCTGTGCACAGCAGCCTGCTGGTGCCCAACATGCTCTCCAGAGCCTCACTTTTGGGGAACCGGCCTCCCTGGAAGGGAGCTTCCATGCTGCTGCTTCACAGTAGCTCCGGAGGCACAGGGCTAAGATTGTGTCCTTGCAGAGGGGGTGTGTGTTCACTACATGCCAGCAAAATGGGCAGGCGTGCATGGCTGGTCAGAACTGGAGCAGTGTCTGGGTGGCTGGGAGAATTGCAGCAACTCTAGGGCCAGGAACGGTGCATTTCAGGGAGAGCCACCCTCCATGAACCCTGTCGCCCTCTATAGAGCTTGCCATCAGAAGAGGCTGACTTGTCTCTACAGGACCTCCTTGGGTTCTCTGAGTGACTCTGGGTGACTCCGGATTACATTTTTTTAGTGATCTTGGTCTGTCTATTGATACAAAAACAACCTCCAAATGCAGTAGCTTAAAATGACAGCAGTCATTCAGTGGTCTCTGTAGGTCAGGACTTTGGGCCAGGCCGGGCGGTCGAGGAGGCTATGGTGAGGCCGGAGCACGGGGCCGGCCATATCCCCAACTCCACTTCGATGGGTGTCCCCATCAGTCTCCCCTGGAGGGCTGGCGTGGGCTTCCTTGCAGCACAGGAAGTGTTGGGGCAGCTGGACACCTTGCATGGTGTCTGAAGCTCAAGAGCCAGCTTCCCAGCTGACAGTGGGGAGGGGCGTGATCCTTTATAACCTGGCCTGAGTATGTCACGAGTGTCACTTCCAATGTATTCTATTGGTTGATGCAGTTACAAAAGCCCCTGGGGGTGGGTTGGGATGGGGACATAGGCTTCGTCCCCAGTAGAAGGAATGTCAGAATGTTCAGACAGTTGAAAGCCGTCCATTAGGGAGGCTTCCTCCCTCTTGGCCCCTGGCATGAAAGACCCTTTCTCTATGCACATTCGTGCAAGAACGGGGTCCTGTCCAGTGGGGACGGGGATTCTTGCTGCCCCCCTAACAACTGAGAGGGACCGTGCCTGAGTGCTCACTGACCACAGAACCGTCCGGGCCGACCAAGGTCTGCAAAGGTGAGGTGTAGCCCGCAGGAGGCAGGAGCAGGAGACGGTGGGATTTTCAGTAGGGACCCAGCCCTAGGGTCGTGTGTTTCTTGACCGCACTGCAGACGCCCAGAGAGAGGCCTTGCCCATGGACACAGAAGTGTACGAAAGCCCGTATGCCGACCCTGAGGAGATCAGGCCCAAGGAGGTCTACCTGGACCGCAAACTGCTGACCCTGGAGGACAACGAACTGGGCTCTGGGAACTTCGGGACCGTGAAGAAGGGCTACTACCAGATGAAAAAGTAAGTCGTGGCTGCGCCGTCACACCGCACATTCTCCTGCAGCTGCAGTTCTAGAAACCAGCACATGACGTGCCTTTCCCATGCATTTAGTCCGAGACACAGAATCAACCCAATACGCCCGAGTCCTTCTGTGTCGACGTGTCTGGTACAACTGCCATGAAAGCATCCATTGTGTGTATCAACTCTGTGTAAATCAATGATATATATTAGTTTGCGTCTAGTAAGTGTACCTTCTTGAGCATTAGAAAGTGTAAACAAGCAAGATAAAATGAGAACATCGTATTCATCCCACCCAGATACTGCTACCATTAACTACGAGTATCGTATATATATTTTTTAGGTCTTTTCACCAACACACAGACACACATGTATTATTTAAGTAAAATGCAATTACTCGGTGATGAACCACACGGCATTTTTAGATATTTTCTTTTATTTTTTAAATTGTGTCTCATTTCTCTTACCCAGAAAGTTGCTGATTACAGGTATCATTAGTGTAATTATTTATTTGATTTTCCTTATAGTTTCAGAAAATAACACACAGCACACAATAATTAGAATTGCTGTGTCACTGAAATCTCTGTGCCTCATTTGCTCTTTAGAAGATGTCATGCACAGAGCGTTCAGTAAAAGTGCCGGTCTATACAGTCCTCTGAAACAGACACTAACCCTGAATATGTATGTTTGAGTTAATATGTTATTGATATGAATACAATTGGGTTTAGTTGTTTGATATTATTTTGAATTTAAGACATACAGGTTTTTTTTTTCTTGAGTAGGTAAATATACATTACTCAAGTGTCAAGAATGTAGGCAAAATATGCACAGAAACTCTTGCTTTCAATCCCATTTTTTCTGGGTGCGTGTAATTAAATGATATGCTCATTTGAAAATCTATGCATGCATCTCACAGTCATTTGTGAAATGAATATAAATTACTCTGTATTAAGGCATAAATTTCTTCAATTAGCTTGTGACACTTATTCCTTGCTTAATTAAATACATATATTAACACAGACAGAACTATGGATATGTAATTTCAACTATGTGTTTGGGGAAAGGAGAGGAGATGTTTTTAATTTTATTTTTAAAAAGATTTTATTTATTTATTTATTTGAGAGAGAGAGAAGGAGCTGTGGGAAAGGACAGAGAGAGGAGAAGCGGACTCTCCATTGAGCAGGGAGCCCAATGCGGGGCTTGATCCCAGGACCCTGGGATTATGAACTGAGCCAAAGGCAGATGTTTCACCAACTGAGCCACCCAGGTGCCCCAAGGAGATGTTTTTAATCATGAATATGTATAATAGTTTATTGAGTACTTGTTTTCCCCTGCTGAGATGACCTTATGGTTTTTCTCCTTTATTGTGTTTATGTGAAGTCAATGATTTTTAGATGTTCAAGCCACCTTGCATTCCTGGAATAAACTTATCTAGTTTGTGAATTAGATACTCTTTCTTTTTCATAAATTACTGAATTGGATTTACTAATATTTCTCTTTGAATATTTGCATTTATATTCACAAGAGACATCAGTAAATTATTCTCTTGGAGGTTTCTTTGTTTGTTCTTGGCGTCAGGGTAATAATGCTGGCCTCAAAATGATTTGGGAGGTTTCCTTCCTCTTTCCTTTTCTGGAAGAGATTATGGGTGTTTTTTTCTTCCTTAACTATTGGGAAGAATTGAAAGGTTTCTCTCATTCATTTTGACTCCTACCTCACATGGTATACAGAACCAGTTCCAGGTGGAATGATAGACAGAAATATGGAAAGGTAAAATGAAAAACTGCCTAGAGGGAGCATAGGGAGGTGGTTCCATGACTGAAGGAGGGTGACGGAGGTGCTCGTGTAGGAGTTACAGCTTGCACTCAGTGTGGAAACACTGGTTAAACTCTACACTAAAGTGGTCTGTGATTTTGTGAATGTATGTTAGACTTACTCCATTGTTCTCTTATTTTACCTGTTTTTTTTTTTGACAGTTCTGTTTTTATTCTCCCGTTTCAGAGTTCAACAAATGAGATGTACTTCCTGCATGTGTGGGAATTCTATCATAGAGAAATGCATTTTTTTTTCAAATGACACACAGTTAAGTTCCATTCATTTATTTAAGTCCCACTATATCAGAATATTTTTAGGAGGTCATCATGACCTATGTGATGCTTTTATGAGAAAGTGATAATTTTTTGCACGCTTGTTGAAGCTTCCTTAAATCTATCAATGCTCAGTTTTAAAAAGTGTTTTGTAAATTTTGAGCTCTAACAACATATGCTTTTTAAACTCTGCATCTGGAAATTCATTTTTAACATATATCAAAGGAATGTTATATTCACTTACATTACAGATAATCTGAGATGGTACATCTGAAGATGCTGCAGGAATCCATGCATGTCACAGTTTGTGAGGTTTATTTGAAAGTCATTTACATATCTTGCAATATTGAGGCTCTGCTTGGTTGGGACATTCTTCAGCACCCCCTCATTATTTGTAAATCAATGCAGTGCTTCTCTCTTTGTCTATAAGAAGAGAGAACAGTTGCAGGTATCTCCATTACATCATTTCTACCACAGCATTTATGCTTCGTAATTACCTGGAACTTAGCTGCTTTGAAAAGTTTCTTATGAGGGTTATGATTTCTTATGCAGAGTCGTGAAAACAGTAGCTGTGAAGATTCTGAAGAACGAGGCCAATGACCCTGCTCTTAAAGATGAGTTGTTAGCAGAAGCGAACGTCATGCAGCAGCTTGACAACCCTTACATTGTGCGCATGATTGGGATCTGTGAAGCCGAGTCCTGGATGCTCGTCATGGAAATGGCAGAACTGGGTCCACTCAATAAATATTTACAGCAGAACAGGTATCTTTAAGTCTCCCAGAAGCTGATGCTGTGATAGGGCAGGGCCCTCCTGCCCAGTGTACATAATAGCTTTAATTTCTGTGGGAGGCTCTCTCTCCCCCCATGCCTTCCTTGTGTTGGCCTTAAGGATGGATGGAAGAGAGTTGTAGTCTTTGGATCAGATGCTCTTTTAACCCTTTTTGTGCTAAGGGAGACTCTAATCCCACAATTTAGTCTTCATTCTCCCTTGCTCACTCTGTATTGCCTGGTGATAGAATCAGCCTTAGAATATCTCAGTAATCAGTCTCCCCTCACTAGGCAGATCATGCCCACCTTAGTGAGAGAAATATTAAAATAAACATTTTAAAAGGGGGTAACTAGTGACGTCTTACTCATCTGGCTGACCTCTACATTCCCATGAGTAATTCCGAAAATAATCTGATGCTATTAATGGATTACAACCATTGGTAGGATATTCACGCTGTGCTCATCAATAGCCACTGTTGAGATGAAGGAACTCACATGGAATAAGTCACAATAATAACCACTGGTTACTTTGTCCAATTTGATACATCACGTGTGTGCTCTACTTACATCATGTGTGTACTCTACTTAGATTATGTATCTGATCTGCACAGAAGAGAGGTGCCATTAGTCCCACTTCACATGTAAGAAACTGAGACTCAGAGTTGGTTTTGTTATCTGTCCAATATTGAAACAAGGATTTCAGCCAAAGCCTAGCTGTCTGTGAGTCAGGTCTGTCCATTCCATTATACTGCTTTTCATGTAATTCAAAGCACACCTCGAAAATCCTACCAGTTGATTACCAGGTTAATGGTGCTCGGTTTTGAGCAGCCGTAAGTCAACAAGGTTGTTTGTCACCACTTGTTACTCTTAAGAAGAATAGGAAATGAGTGGATCCCTCTGCCTACACAAGGAGCATGATTGGTTGGTCCCAAATGGAGTACTGTTCACCACCACTAATGACACATCTATAACTTTCAGGCATGTCAAGGATAAGAACATTATAGAGCTGGTTCATCAGGTTTCTATGGGAATGAAATATCTGGAGGAGAGCAATTTTGTGCACAGAGATCTGGCTGCAAGAAATGTATTGCTGGTTACTCAACATTATGCCAAGATTAGTGATTTCGGACTTTCCAAAGCACTCCGTGCTGATGAAAACTACTACAAGGTAGGAATAACTTAGCCAGTATGGCAAGCAGCAGGTGGTGAGAATCTGAAATGCAAGTGTTTGTGTTCTTTGTTTGATTATGGAAAGGGTCTCAAGAAGCAATTTATCTATGAAAAATATGTAAAAAATATTCTTGTTAAGCTTTAATTATATTGTTTTTAAAAATGGTAATACTCTAAAATATCATGAACTGGGTTCACTCAGAATATTAACTTTCAAACTATATTCCTGGGAACAAAAAAGAATCAAGGTATTAATTGATAATTCATTTAAAGAAAACAAGAATAGAATTCCTTCCTTAAATTACTTTGGAAAAATGGGTTGAACAGGTTGATTCTTGTAGGATATCTCAGAGCTCATCCCTGACCCCATAAATGAACTGATAGTAACTAAAGGAAGGGAAAAACTTAAGAAAGCCCCATATGAACTCAGTTATAGTGTATGTGAGTCTATGTGGATCAACTGGAAAATGTAATGGGAATGGAACCTAGAAAATGGAAGAGGGAGCCAAGGACAGATTTCCAACTCTCCAGGTCCCTGGGAATGTCCAGCATCCTCAGGAATTGATGGCACACCTTGAAGTCTCACTTGTGAATGGCAGGATGGCGGGTGGGATTGGCCTGAGCCTAAGCATCACTCCCACATTGTGGAGTGCCTGGTACCCCCACTCCCCCAACCACTGGCTCCTCTCTGAGAGGGCCACCATGCATATGGGGACAGCAGACCTCAGCTTGGGGTCAACATGAAGGTCAGACAGGAGCAGAGCTGTCTGGAAGTACTCCATTGTCCATAGAGAAGCTGGTCCCAGAGCACAGCCCCTTCAGTGATGAGCCAGGGTTAGAAAAAGCACCGAGTGAGCCATTTGCAGAGACGGCTGGGAACTGGAGCAAAGGAACCAGCAGAGTGACAGCCACAAGCACATGCCAGAGAGAAGTAGGTTTTCCATCAGGGGGCACTTTGGAAACTTTCATCATGATAATTAAAGAGAGAAGAAAATCTAGGCACTGAAACAAAGACTCACAGAGGACATAGAGAAGTGGAGATAACAAATCATCCCCAAACTTAGTGCCTGAACACAATACCAAGTGTTAATTTATCCATAGTTCTGCAGTGTGGGTGTGGCTTGGTGGGAGGGCACATCTCTGCTGCACACAGTGTCTCAGGGGCCGTCCCAGGAGGGTGGAAAGATTCATACCCACTCTGCTCACTCACACAGCTAGAGCCTGATCTCACCTGGACTGAGGCCTGGGACCTCAGCTGGGGCGGACCCATCCATTACTAACTCACCAGCACATGGCCTGTCCATGCCGCCTTGGCTTCCTCACAGCATGGCGGCGACCGTGGGTGGTCCTGAGAGTCAGTTACTCAAGAGGCAGGAAGTGAGGCCACCAGACCCCTAAGGCTGGACCCATGAATTGGTTCAGAGTCACACCCGCCTCATGCTACACAGGTCAGAGCATCCACAGCCCAGCCAAGATACAAGGGAGGGGGAAGGACAGACCCCACCCCTGGTAGGGACAAAGGTTAACATGAGGGCCAGTATTTCAAACTGCCATAGATATTCAGCAGTACACTGTTGAAAACTAAACCAGTGAATCTCTGAAAACTAATGAAGAAGAGGAAGAGAATATTGAAGACACTAAAAAATATCAAGCCAAAAGATCTGGATCAAGCTAGTGAGGTAGGAGACCTTGGCCTCCATCCCACCAAAAGGTCAACAATTAGACAGCCATTCTTGAAGGAGACAGCTCTAGGAGAGTGTAGGAATCCACTTCAGAAGCTTCAGCAACACGGGGCAACAACAGACCTCAGAATAGCTGCACAAAGAGAAAGGAGAAGAGTGTCATTTTACCTGCATGACACCATCTCCAGGCTGGCATCGCTCAGTATCATGTGAGAACAGCCAGCTAGAAGGAGTTCCTCCCATGGGGAAAGGGAGAGTGGGGTGAGCTACCAGCCTCCCCAGGCTTTGGGGGCATGGCCTGAAGGACTCACTTCCTGTCATCCCACCCAGACACCAACAAGGCTGAGGCCTTTTGGAGACAGCTGGGAGCCAGGAGGAATGCCCGGGCTACCCCTGTCGGCCACACAGTGGGAACAACGATGGTTCCTGGCAACCTACTCTGCAGAGGCCCCCAGCAGCCTTCACTGCTGAGGACTTGTGGCTGTCATGGATGTCCCCAGCTTTTGTCACTAAGGATCCCGTTATGGGCCCCAACAGACTGCTCCACAGAGGACCCCAGATGCTTTCCATGCTAAAGAAACTAACAGCAAGCACAGCCTTTGCAGACTCCTGGCAGATTTCTTTTTTCTTTTTCTTTTTTTAGATTTTTACCCCACATATTTTCACATTCACAGAGAGCAGATGCCTGATTCCCTCCCTGCTCCCCAGCCCATCAAGGAATCCACATCAGCAGCCAGCTCTGTCTGCTGCAGCTGCATGGGTGCAAAACACCAACCCAGACCCCCCACAGCTGACCTCCACCTCCATGCACACATTCATTGCTATCACCTGCATCTGTGCACCTGCATGCTGCAAGCCCACGTCCACTCACTGGCCTCCCTGCTGTGCCTGTGTTTGGAATGAACCCGTGCAGCTGCAGGAGTGCACACGGACAGCCAACACCCTTAAGGCTTTTGTGGGCTCAGATCTGGCCTTGTTCCCTGTCACTGGGCTCACCTGCAGCTAGTGCCTATAGCTGTGCACCTGCATGCTGCAGCCCAGCTCCCATCACCAACCTCTACAGCCATGCATGTACTAATGGCAAGCCCCTGCAGCCGTGTAAGAGCTTTCCAATAGCCAGAGACCCCATAGCTGCTAGTACATCTACATTTGGCCCCAGCCCATACTGCTGGCCCAACCCCACTATGTATGTGTCCACAGCTGGCTGCCATCACTTCATGGGCACCTGCAGGTGGCCTCCACAGGTGAGTTTGTGCATAGAACTAATTCTGGTCACCATCACCACCTAGCCTGGTCCCTACCTGCTGGGTCTCAAGGTGGTGCTGGGGACCCCAACAACCAGTACAGGCACTGCAGAACCACAGCTATCATTAAGGATCATGCAATTATTATTTTTGTGGACCTCAGAGACCTAAGTCAATGAGATCTCACACGAACCACAACCTGGACCTATCACTCAACCTGCACTTGCCACCCCTCCGCCACGAGACCCAGAGTCAGAGCATCCTTTAGTATGTTCCCACCTGCAGGTGAAAGTCTTTATTAAAGTCAGCCCATAAAGTCTGGAAGAGGTGACTCTTCTTCAAATGTGCAGATACCTACTCAAGACTACAAGGATCATGAAGAATCAGGGAAACACAACACCATGAAGGCAACACAGTAAACTTCCAGTAACTGACCCCCAACTGACTCCAAAGAAATTGAGATGCCTAAATTGTCTGAAAAATTATTCACAATAGTCCTAAAAATGTTCAGAGTGCTGCAAAGAACATAGGTTTAAAAATTTAAAACAAAAATTGGGAAAATGATACAAGAACAAAATGAGAAGTTCAATAAAGAGATAGCATAAAAAAGAACCAAATGAAAATTTGGAGCTAGAAAATACAGTGATTGAACTGAAGAATTCAATGCAGAGTTTCAACTTCAGACTGGACCAAACAAAAGAAAGCATCAGTGAATTCACAGACAGGTCATTTGAAATCATCCAGTCAGAGGAACACAAAGCAAGAAAAAATGAAAGGGAGAAAGAAAGTCTACAGGACTTACAGGACACCATTAAGAGAAAAAAGTCACATATTATTAGAGTCCTTGGAGGAGAGGAGAGGAAGAAGGGGGCCAAAAGCTTATTTTGAAAAAAAACTGTGGCTGAGAATTCCCAAATCTGGAGAGAAATTTGGACATCCAAGTTCATGAAGTTCATTGGTCCTCAAATAAACTCAGTTCAAATAGATCTTCTCCAAATATTATGCAGAAACCTTACAGGCCAGGAGGGATTGGGATGATGTATTCCAAGTGCTGAAAAGAAAGAATTGCTAACCAAGAATACTTTTATGTACCAAAGCTCTCCTTTAGAAATGAGTAAAATAAAGACTTCTTTTTTAAAGGATATATTTTTTTAAGATTTTATTTATTTATTCATGAGAGACACGGAGGGAGAGAGAGAGAGAGAGAGAGAGAGAGAGAGAGAGAAGGAAAAGCAGGCTCCATGCAGGGAGCCTGATGTGGGACTCAATCCTGGGACTCCAGGATCACACCCTGGGCCAAAGGCAGGCGTTAAACCACTGAGCCACCCAGAGATACCTAAATAAAGACTTTCCTAGACAAAAGCAGAAGGAGTTCATCACCACTAGACCTGCCTTAGAAGAAATGCTGGAAGTATTTCAAGCTGAAATAAAAGAATGCTAATTAGTAACATGAAAACATATGAAAATATACAACACACTGGTAAAAGTAAGTATATAATCAAATTCAAAATACCCCAATACTGTAATATAGTTTTGTGTTAATCACTTAACTAGTGTAAAGATTAAAGGACAGAAGTATTAAAAATCACTATAGCTACAATAATTTGTAACTGATACATAGTATAAAAAGATAAAAATTGTGACATCAAAAACATACAATATGGTGGGAAGGAATGAAAAGGTAGAGTTTTTTAGACAATCAAAGTGAAGTTGTTATCACCTGAAAACAGACTGTTACATACGTAAGATGTTTTATGTAAGCCTCAGGGTAATCACAAAGCAAAAAACCTGCAGTAGATACACACAAGATAGAAGAGAATCTAAGCATACTGCTATGGAAAACCATCAGACCACAAAGGAAGGCAGCAAGAGAGGAATAAAAGAGCAAAGGAGCTACAAAACAGCTGGAAAACACATTTATAAGTTTTTATCTATCAATGGTTACTTTAATTGTACATGGATTAAATTCTCCAACCAAAAATAGTGTCAGAATAAATTAAAAAAAAAAAAGACCTAAACTACATGCTGCCTGTAAGAGACTCACTTCAGTTTTAAGGACACACATAAACTCA